ATGAGAAGAGTAACATTCAAGCAGCACTGGAGGAGGCTGAGGTGATGATTATTACCTGAGATACCAGACTTTACTCACCAACAGACATTTATAATGATGTACTTGGGTGAAAAGCTAATGTGTTGCTAACCGTGTGTGGCTCAGGGCACTCTGGAGCACGAGGAGAGTAAAACCGTACGTATCCAGCTGGAACTCAGCCAGACCAGGACTGAGGTTGAAAAGAAACTTGCAGAGAGGGATGAAGAGATTGACAATCTCCGGTAAGGGACTCTTTTGTGTCTATTTAAAAAAAATGAACAATTAAAATATCACTGTAGAATTAAAACACGTGATTATTTACCTATGCAGTCGAAACCATCAGCGGACTCTGGACACCATGCAGACCACTCTGGAAGCAGAAACCAGGGCCCGTAATGAAGCAATCAGGGTGAAGAAAAAGATGGAAGGTGATATGAATGAGATGGAGATCCATCTGAACCACGCAAACAGACAGGCTGTGGAGTCTCAAAAAATGGTGCGCAACCTACAGCTTCAAATCAAGGTGAGATGGGAGGGCTGGTTGTAGGAATACGCAGATTTTAGAGTAATCTTTAACAACAACTTCAAATAATCTCTAGGGATGCACAATTCATTGATATTTTTAACTGTGCTCCATTCCCTATTTTTACATTTGGATTGCCTTAAATGATTCTTTAAAGCTACACTGTGTAACTCTTTTAGTTTATTCTTAGCTAAAAACACTTAGTTCTTTCAAAAATATATGTGCTCATTAATGTATATTTACTTCGTTCGAGTAATAAAGTATTCTCGTGAGTGTACTGTATAATATGCCATTGAAAATACATACGGGTAAGGGGTTCTAATGTCGGTCGCCATGTTGCCCCTCCATCTTGAAAGTACATTAGCCAAAGAGGGACATACCCGTTAATTCAAGCATCGCCTTTCGCGTTTACGTTTGAGTTAACACTCATGGACGAGGTCGAACTGTAAGCCATGTTAATCTTGGACTACATTGGCCACCGTAGGAGTTAAAACGAAATCGGAATTGAGAGGAACAGAAAGTAATATTCACTGGACGGTCATGTACCTTTTCACCGCTAGATGGGGGTAAAAATCACAAAGCTTTTATATAAAAAGCTTCAATAAAACTGTTAAATCTCAAAATGAATATCCATTTTCATAATGTTGTGATGCCTAAAGCATTTAGTTTTTTAATTTACTCAAAATAGTATATATTTTAATATCAGGCTTAACATAAAAATAATTACGAGCTAATCTGTTTTGGCCAGAATCTTTAAATCGGTGCATCCCTTTTTTTTTTTTTTTACACACTTAAACTGTACAACATACATTTAAGTGTGTAAAAATTCAAATGTCAACTGCAATTGTTGTATCTTCTCAGGAACTGCAAGTAGAGTTAGGTGAGTATGTACACCAGTGTGAGGACCTAAAGGAGCAAGTGGCAGTCACAGAAAGGAGAAACACCCTGCTAACTGCAGAGTTGGAGGAGTTGCGGGCAATAGTGGAACAAACAGACCGCATGCGTAAAGTCGCTGAGCACGAGCTTCTGGAGTCCAGTGAGAGAGTGAACCTGCTGCATGCTCAGGTATGATAAATGAATGAAACAAACGATCAATAATCAAACGCCATGATCTTACCTCACAATCCACCGATCTTTACAGAACACGGTAGTGTTGAACCACAAGAAGAAGCTCGAGGGTGACCTATCCATGCTATCCGTGGAAGTGGACGACGCTCTGCAGGAGTGTCGCAGTGCCGAAGAGAAGGCGAAGAAGGCCATAACTGATGTGAGCTCCTACTGTCTGCAGTATGACGAAGTTTTGCATGGGCAGAAAATATCAAAATTGAATCTAATTTTTCTGATTACAACAATAAAGCACAACTCTGAAACACTTGCTTATATTGTAACCAAACATATCCATCATTAGGCAGCCATGATGGCGGAGGAGCTGAAGAAGGAGCAGGACACCAGCAGTCACCTGGAGAGAATGAAGAGGAACATGGAGCAGACCATCAAAGACCTGCAGATGCGTCTGGATGAGGCTGAGCAGATTGCTCTCAAGGGAGGAAAGAAACAGATTCAGAAAATGGAAATTCGGGTGAGCAGGAAACCCGAACCCAAAGTCCATTTGGTCCAGACATGATTAGAACATATTTTACGGACTAATCTGTATCTGTGGGAACGTTTCAATCATCAGGTGCGGGAGCTAGAGGGAGAGCTGGAGTGCGAGCAGAAGAAGAGTGGAGAGTTCCAAAAAGGATTGCGAAAATATGAGAGGAGAATTAAAGAGCTCACTTACCAGGTATTACTCACGGAGACGTGACGCAACACAGAAGCAGTGTGCTTCTTCATCTCCAGCACATCTAAACGGCTTTGTGTTCTCTGTGCAGACAGAAGAAGACAGGAAGACTCTCCTGAGGATGCAAGACCTGATTGACAAATTACAGGCGAAAGTAAAGAGCTACAAGAGACAAGCTGAGGATGTCGTACGTATTTTCCATTCCCTCGCAATACCAACTCATGAATTCATTCTTTCATTACATAAAAATATGGTACAGTGTTGGACAGTAACACATTTTCTTCACTTTGTTCATCATGTGACCAGTCAAACAATATGGCATTGTCCATTTTTTTTTAAGATTACAGTGCATTGTATCTCGTTGTTGTATGGCAGGAGGAGCAGGTCAACTGCAGTATGACTCGGTTCAAGAAGATCCAGAATGAGCTGGATGAGGCCGAGGAGAGGGCAGACATGGCCGAATCTCAGGTCAACAAGCTGCGTTTGCGCACTCGAGAGACTCATGTTGTCAAGGTAACACAGTAAACTGATCTCAGATACTTGTATAGATAGATCACCCAAAATTAAACTTGCGTCAATGAATTGCTACAACAAAACTGAAGCCAATTAGAAAAAAATAACAGATATTTCAAAATATCCTCTTTTATGTTCCATAGAAGAGAGAAAGTCCTAGAAAGTCATCTGAAAATGACAGAATTTTAATTTTTTGGGTGAACTGGCCCTTTAAGAGTGAAAAAATGGAAGAAAATAAAACAATAAGAGTGAGTCATAACATATGGTACCTATTTGTTCACAGATTGTGGAGTGAAGATGATTAAAGCAGATGATTTTGAAGAGTCTTGCGACAAGTACCTTTCCTTTCGCTCTTTGTAATATGCTGCAAGGCACAGAGGTTTTGGAAATGTTTAATGCTTACTGAAAAATAAACTGATTTTTTTTTTTTTGCAATTGCAACCTGCAAAGATAACATGCTGATTTTCAGATATCAAACACTAGTCTTGAAAAGTTTTTTTTTTTTAAGCGGTCTACATCCTTCTTGGAAGAGGCTCGGGCTACAGAGCTCATAATTTGCAGTGTTTTGGAAAATCACAGTGTCATTACAGTCCAGCTGAAGAACAGCTCAGGAAGACAGTTGTGTCTGAATTTAAACTGGACTGAGTTGAAGTCCACAGTGTATTTGATAAATAAAGTGCCTGAATGGAAATGTTTGCATGATCATGTCAAGTTGCACAGAAATTAATTTGGAATAAAAATTTGAAGAATGCATTGCTCTTGTTTTTCTGGTCTAACTCAACCTGCATCACCAAATAATATGACAAAACCCATGCTTTCAATTTCAACAAAGTGGGATAATTGATCACTTTATGTTCTTTCTAGGGATGCAAACTGAAAGGGTGAATGTTGAGTCTCACAGTTGGTCTCCTAGAATTCTTTCATAGCTTATAATGCTGATTTCAAATTAAAAATAGTTAAAATATTTCAAATATAACATTATATAGCGTCTGTGATCAAAAGGTAAAAAAAAAACAGCAAAACAGTCCAGCCTGACCAAACTGGAGATTAGTTCATCTACAGGCAAAAACTGTTGTTGTTTTTTCATTCACTGGTCATATTCGAAATACACTTTAAGTGTTTACTTTATGAAATCTCCTCTTGAGTAGCATTTACACCAAACTTTAGTTCTATTCCTATACATATTCCAATGGGTTTGAACGAGGGCTTTGTTCACATATCATTTGCCTGATTTATAAAATTTATTTCATTCTAAAAATATTCTAATATTATAGTATTTATTTTAATAGTATTTCTATTTAAATGGTTCTGGAAATGTACGCAGTGCATATTTAATCAGATTAAAATACACAATTAGCATATTTTAATATAAAATTGCAGAAAATTTGTTATGCAAATAAAGTTTACAATACTTAACAATACTTCTACTGGGAAAGAGTGATATTTATTAGTTTTGTTTTTTTGTTGTTGTTGTGGTTTTTCCCTATTCATCCGTGGTGTCTTGCTTTAGGCAAAGCTCTTTCCGTAAGCTGAAATCTGACAACAAAAAGATTATTAGTTCCAACACATACAGGTAAAATTATAAAGGGGGAGTTGATAGGTAAAATCGAACAGCCAGTTAAATACGCATTGAATAGCCAACACATGCAATGAACAGGTTATTATCAGGTGGCAGTAGGCCTATGTTGTTGTTAATATTATTGTGTATTACATTTAATCTAACAAATAAACGTAATTTATTGAATGTAAGTAATAATAAAAAATAAAATAAAAAAAAACTCACCTCAGAAAACGCGGCATTTCGAAATGCATCATTCGTACGCGAATGTCGTGGCAATAATTCCAGATTCCATGGTTGGCTTTGGGAAACGCATCCCTGGTTTGTATAAGAGGGACAAAACGAGTTCAAAACAGTAACACTTTTTCTGTAAGAGGTATGGGAGTTGTTTATAAATTAAGGAAAGACTAATTGCTTGGATCATTTCACAAAAAAAAAAAAAAAAAAAAATCATAGATTAAATAAAATATAAAGTAAAGCCAAACTCCAACTTGCCATACAAAATAAATCAAATATTTTAAATATCACGTACTGTATGGGGTGCCCTGATTGAAAACCTGGTTTTAATAGAATAAGAAGTCTAATGCTGTAGCCAGACAGAAACTTGCTTGTGATAAAACAATTTCTTTATTTTCTTTTGTGTCGTCACTTGGTAATTCAGGGCTTAAAAGTTTAATTTTGAAGTAAGAACTACGTACATAACATACATAAATATACAGGCAGTATGTAAACTAAGCCAACCACCAACATTAGACATTAGGATGTCCCTGAATGAAACAGCCTTTTTTTTTTTTTTGCAGTGAGGGACAATGGGCAGTGAGGCTCACCCTGACTACTTTCAGGAGTTTGTCTGGATGTGTCACTGATAACTCAACCAACAAGAGATATCAGCAGTAGAGAACAAGGCAGCTGTAACTCTACAAACCAGCTGAAAAATGTCCAGACTCTAGTGCCATTGCAAAAACACACTCGCACACACCTCTAAAGTGGCTTTACACATTCCCAAGCACATTCATTTCACATTTAAGACTGTGAGCCAGCGCGCACGCACACACACACACACACACATTCATGCGGTTGAACAAGCAGATCAATAGCCTCAGTGCCATGAAAAGCCAGATACACTTACTCATAACTCATACCTTCACACATACACACAATTCTGTAATGCATCTGAATGGAGAAGGTCTTTTAAATGTAGGCATGATGCAATTCTGATGTAAAGAGAGTCCTCTCAATCTCTATAGTCACAGCTCCATGAAGTCTCTGTCCAGGTCCATGTAGGCTTCATCAATGTAGGTGGCAATGGCACATTGTGAGCTTCTACCAGAACCCAGCAGCACTGATACTGTCTCCTTCCAGTAGGTGAAGGGAATACAAGAACTCTGTAGAGAAAGAGATACAAAAGGTAATGCCTTACGAACTCACATCTATGGCAGAAAGTCTGCGTTTGGTCAATCAAGCGGAGCTCACGTTCTCCAGGCAGGTGCTGTCCTTGTCCTTGTTGAGGTAGTGGTGCTGCCAAAAGCGCAGCAGGTTGTGGAAGTTGTTGAGCAGACAGCCGGGGTATTTCTCTGCATATTCCTTCTCTCGCAGAGCACTCAGGTAGAAAGGCAACTTCCCCCGCCTCCGTGCCAGCATCAGAATCACCAGACTGGTGTTTAGACAGCTCACATTCTCCTGTGATTGGTCAAAACCACAATAAAAAAAAAATGAGTTCAAGAATTAGAAATGTTGGTTTTAGAAAAAATATTTATGACTCGTAATAAAATTTTCTATTACTAGTAATAAAAAGTAAATCTATATATGCATTGCATTTTTCAGGGTTTTTTTTTAAACATATCTAACACATCTAGACAAATGTAATGTCAGTGACCTTTAAATGATCTCTCACATTTGGATATTATCTTGCAACAGCATAAATTAGGGGTCGGCAAAAAGTGCCATTTTGATTTTTCCTAATTAATCACTGCGCCATACGCACACATACATTCACAGAACTCAGCACTAATTAGTACACTCCCTCTGAACAGAGATATGTTCCCACTTAGTGATCAATATTTCAATTCAAGGAAACAGACTTAATAAAAATAGAAAAAAAATATTTTAGCTAATTTTGCTTACATGAAGGGTTGCAAAACTGAGTACACCCTTGATTAAATATAACAAACATATAGGCCTGGTTTCACAGACAGGGCTTAGATTAAGCCAGGATTAGGCCTTAGTGCCTCCTGAGATAGAAACAATGACAGTCACACATTTTAAGATATGTCAGTGAAAGTTGCTTTCAGTTAAAACAGCTCAAAAGTCAAACATGCCTTTTTTTCAGAGACAAACATTCTAGTGAATAGTATCTCCTCTATAACAAAGTATCCTACTCTGACCCTACTTGGCATTGAATGTACAAGTTCACAACCAAATTTTCATATCCATTCTGTTTATCTCCTGGAGATCCACCCCAGATGCCTAACAGTTTTAAGGTCATACGTGATTGTCATATTGAAAACACGCCTATGGAATAAAGAGAAGAGAGCATCTTCTGTTTCCAGTGAATTCATGACACCACTCATTAAGCACAACTCTCTCAAACCTTTAGCATGAGAGCAGAATATTAATTGATTTTGTTAATATGGGCCTGGGAAAAGACTAAAAGAGTTTATTGCACTTTTGCAACAGTAGGTAGTTCTTGTGTGGACAAAAACAGCACATTTCACTTCTGCACGTTGTGTCTTACGAGAGTGAGATGAATCAGTCACTCTTCTCACAGCTTTTTGCCAGCTCTGAGACACTTACTTGGCATTTCTCCAGCTCATTTCTTAGCAAAAAACACTCATCACAAAATGAAAGCTGAAACTGAAGGCCTGAAGTGCATTCTTAAATTTCTGTGTTACTTTTGCTATATTTTTTACCCCTAAAACATTGCATAGTAAATCCTTGTGTGCAAAGAACTGTCTGCAGATAATTTTCTCCCAAGTGTTGTCGACATTAAGTCTAAGAATGATTCAATGGGCTAAATAACACTTATAATTGTTGAGAAATTGCTTTTATTTAAATGTGTTGGTTCAACATCACCTAACCTGTTGATCAACAAATGCCTTTAATTTGCACAAAATTTTATTTGGTAACTTTTCTGGAGCTTTACTTTTCATTTTTGCAAAAACATTTTATACATTTTGATAAGGAAATCTTATTTTTCTGATTAATATTGACATGCTTCTTTGGTAACTGATTCAGCAGACTTGCTGGAACATTATATTTTCAATGAAGATTACCCCTCCCCATGTTAATATTGGCACTCGTGCCGTAGGTTGCAAAAAAATATATATTTTATAACTTGCCTGAGTGAGGGTTTGTACATTGATGATGCTGATCAGTCTATAAAGGTAGAACAACCTGTTTTCCACTTGAGCCATGTAGGACAAGAGGCGACATTCTGAAAACACTTCAACCACTGAGAAGAAGAGAAAAAGAAGCACATTTAAAACATGTGTCATCTTTCATCCATCTCTCCATTAATCGTTCAATCACTTGAGTCAAACCTTTTATGTCTTCAGTCTGGCTCTCAAAACGGTCCAGAGAAAGGACGATACATCGCACCAGCATGTTAGAGTCCACCAGAGAGCTGTTGATCTGAGTCAGGAACATCTGAAACTGAGGTGTCGAAAGACAGATTTGAGATCTACTAAATCACTTCAGTGTGTGTGCCACAAGAAAAATCAAGAAAGACCTGACTCTAACCCCACCTTCTCCTCGGTGTTGACATATTTGTTAAATCTTTTGAAGGCATCAATGTTGAACTTCATGAGCTCACCAAGTAGGTCAAAGTAGCTCTGAAGGACATCATGTGACTTACAGCCACTGTCGATTATGCAATACAGAATGTGCTGAAAGAAAAAAATGACAAGACAGCTTAATATTTCTGTCTGTAGACTACCATTCAAACGTCAGTAAGATTTTTTATGTTTTTGAAAGAAGTCTCTTATTCTCTCCATGGCTCCGTTTATTTAATAAATATTAAAGTAAAAATAAACAGTAATATTGTGAAATATTATTACAATTTAAAATAAAAATTTATCTGGATTCTTTGAAGAAACTTCAAAAGAACAGCATTTAATTGGAACAGAAATACTTTGTAACAATTTAAATGTCTTTACTGTCACTTTTGATCAATTTCATGCACCCTCAGTGAATACAAATATTAATAAATTAAAAAAACAGTAGTGTGTATATAGATTCAACACCTCTAACAGGCCTCTTCTGAGAAGGAAAACTTGATCGGCATAAGATGGCGTTCCTCTCAGAAAACTCTCCACTGCTCTTGCCTGCCAGAACCTGAAGCGAGTTGTGAAAAAGACATGCAGAAATGTCATGTGACCAGTCAAACTCAAGACACAAGATGTCAAGATGTGGAAGGAAACATTACAAATGCAACTATAGATCTAACCTGAATGAAGAATCAATTGGCTCTTTCTTCATGACAGAGATCAACCGTGTAAGAAGACCTTTTTTACCATCACACACAAGGTTCCTGTAAAACAATGAACTAAAGTTAATGTAAACCAACTAACCAGCAGTTCAAAACATGAGAATAAGGAAGCACTAAAGTATATGAAAAGGGTCCCCGTGCCTGTCTGTGTTATTCAGCGCATCCATTTCAAAGATGTTCGCACTCAGGTAGATCTCACTCAGCTCATTCAGCTCCAGTCCACTTAGAAGAAGGTACTTATTCCTGTGATCAATAAATAGATGGTTTAATATTTGAGTATCTGCTAAAAAATTTAGAAACATTGAGTCTAACATTCCCTGTTCCTTGCATCTCTGTGTTATACTCACTCATGGTGATCACTGAAGCTCTGCAACAGCCTGAGGAACTGGATCTTGAAAGAGATCTCCTGATGTGCAGGAGAAAAGAGGTGCATTGTCATCCATATGCAAGAGTCGTTTAAATAAGAGAGTAATGAAGGGCTGCTTCTTACTGGACTGCAGTCACAGTTCTGGTTCTGTCGATGTAGGACGTGGCCCGATGGATGCTTCCTCCAGATCAGCTTGTCAAACAGGTTATTGAGTCCAGGAATTAACTTGAACTCTGCCAACATTCTGTGAACCTGTGTAACGAGAGTAAAAATATATGATTCAACTCTTTAAAATACACTCCCCATTGAAACTTTTGGGGTTTGAGGTTTAAAAGAATTAATACTTTTTTGTTTTTTTTTTAAAATGACCAAAAAATGCGTTTATAATGGTTCAAAGCATTTCAAAGTTATTTTTTTTTAAGTCAAACTAAAGAAAACTTGACGGGGAATTAGGGATACACAGAAACGAGTGTAATCGATGTAATCGATTATGTCGATGCATTGTTCCAGCCCTAAAATAAACCTATAACTCAAGCTTCATAAGTGACTAGTCAGTTGTTGAATGGCTCATTCCATGTCAAATTTATCATATTAATATTCACAGTCACTTCAATCCCATCACATTACCTGATTTCTCTGTCTGCCCATTAGCATCACACACAGCACATAGAGAACCTCCACTTTGTACATGATCTCGTGCACGATCTTCATAGATTGGGGCAGCCTGTGTCTGAGCGGACTGGAGGACAGGGAGCTCTCATCAGACGACTCTGAAAGACAGCCAATCAGAGTGGATGAGAATCCCAGCTAATATAAATAACAGAGCAAAAAAAAGAGAAGAGGATCTTCTCACCTGTACTGCTCTGCTCCGCTTCCTCAATTGCTAACTGCATGAGGGCATCCAGCACAAGTGCGTTGTCAAGCCAACTATGCCAGTCTTCCAGCTCCAGCCGGGCAGAAGCACCCGCCGCCTCTGTGACTTTTCGTGTGGCGAGCTTACAAAGCCGCTCAATAAAGCCTGGGATATTCAGCAGAGCCACTGCAGACAGATCAGAGCAAGTGTGAGACCACATGACACAATAGAACGTATATTAATATTTCATGGATTAACTGCAGTTGTGTTTTCTAACCCTGGTTGCTCTCAGCGCGTGACGTGCACGTGCTGGTCTTTTGCTGGGTACTGCGGGCCAGGAGAGTGTGTTTGTCATCTACACCAACATCTGGCTCTGATATGGTGACCGAGAGGATACGACAGAAGTTGGCCAGCTGCTGCTGGTTGAAGCTCTGGACCAGACCGGCCAAGTTGGGAATTTTTTCCAGCTGAATGATTTCCTAAGGTAAAAATAGAAAATCATACAAAATACACTTTTTAATTACTTTAAAATGTTGTTTATACATGTGATGGCAAAGCTGGATTTTCAGCATCATTACTCCAGTCATCAGTGCAACATGACCCTTCAGAAACTATTCTAATATGCTGATTTGCTGCTCAAGAAACATTTAATATTATCGTCATCAATATTAAAAAACAGTTGTGCTGCTTAATATATTTTTTAAAGGAAACCATGAAAAATGTATGTTCAGGATTCTTTGATAAAAAGAAAGTTCAAAAGAACAGCATTTATTTTAAATAGAAATATTTTGTGACATTACAAAACGTCATTTTTGACTAATTTAATGCATCCTTGCTGAATAAAATAATTCCTTACATTTTTTATCGACTCCAAACTTTTAAACAGTAGTGTATATGCATTTGCTTTTACCTTTCGGACACTCAGAATGTCCTCAATGAGAGTTGCAGTTGGTAAGAAAACCTTTTTGTTGGACATGAGAGTGAACAGGAACATGACGAAATCCTCCCTCGCTGCAAGGCTTTTTGTAACGCCCTCTGTCTGACAGATTAAATCAGAGGCTGTTACTCACAAGGAAATTCTTATTTCTGTCCTTTCAGTGATGCATTTTTTGATATACTTACACATATACAGCAGTTGTACAGTCCGCTTAGACAGTCCTTGATGAGATCATCGCTCACTAAAAATAAAGCAAACCTTTAAACAAATTGAAAAAAATCTCTTTCCTAAAAAAAAGGTTCATTAGTTAACAGTAGTTAATGTATTAACTAACATGAACGAACAACATTTGTTAAACTATTTATTAATTTTTGCAAATGTTACTTAATTAAAATCCAGCTGTTCATTGTTTGTTCATGTTAGTTTACAGGGTATTAACTAATGTTAACAAATACAGCCTTTGATTTTAATAACGTATTAGTAAATGTTTTCAATTAATATTAACTAAGATTAATAAATGCTGAGTTTGAAGTCTTGTTAATTCTTAGTATATGTTAACTAAGGTAGTTAAATAATGTTAACTAATTAACCTTATTGTAAAGTGTTACCAAAGCAGTAAGAAGAGAGTAAATGAAGAAGCTTGGATTTAATATTTAAATAAGCTTACGTATGGGTAGGTCTCCTTGTACTGTGAGCGTTGGCCGCATCAGAATCTCTACGAATAGCTGTAGACGAATGACAAAAACATACTGAGTAACTAACAAATCTGTATACTGTTTTACTGTCATCCTGTACGGGAAAATAACGTTTTTTCCATTCCGCTGCGCTTTAAATCTCGCGTCTTTTGCAGCATCTCCTGCATGACATGATGCTCTAAAAACACGGCACTCAAGTTAAAATAAGTTCAACTTGATAACGCATCTTGAGACCTTGTGCTTCTTCAAAGCAAAACCGCTTGCTGTGTGAACGAGCCCAAAGAGGCAGAAATGGCCAAATGAGTATTTCCATCATGTTATGCATCATCATGTTATCCATCACCTTATGCAAATACAGCTGCAATTTAATTGCAAGTAAGATAACAGTCTCATGTGAAACTAAATAAAATACCACACATATTATACAAGATAAGATATACCAAGATATATCATACTGAGCAGAAAACGAGAAAAACAAACAAACTCATGTCTATCCCACAAATACAGTAGAAGTACATTTGTCAGAGTAGAAGTTTACTAAATGTCTGGTCTAAACAGAATACATGAATATGAGTATAACTATGAGTATATTAAAACGTCCGACTTTCCGGCCCGAAAACAGCCGGCCAAAGGGTGGGCTGAGAGCCGTGACGTAGACACCAAGCGCAGAGTTTAAGATTGTATTTTAGGTTAAGGAAATCGAAAACGACCGCGGATATGGAGATACGGGATCCAATTCGCTCTGTTGTGGAGAATATTCCCAGCATTCCCAGCAGGTTCTAAACATCTTGAATGGAGGTGATGTTTAAGTTAAGAAAGAGAGGTGATTGGCTTTCGGGTAACCCATGATTTCATACTTCAAACTGTTTTTATTATTAAGAGGTTTGCACAAGAGTTAACTGTAAACTGCAAACATTTAACTTTGATTACATTAAATTTTCTGGAACTGGAAGTTAAGTTAAGAAGTTCTGTTAACTCTGCTAAACTATAATTAATAAAACTAACACTGAAACTAGATATATAAAAGACTAAATAGAAATGCGTTTCAAAACAAACAAAACTATTAATGAAACTAACAAAAACTAAACTGAAATTTATATGAAATTTGAAAATGATATTAAAGAGCACCTATCATGTATTTTTGAAAATGACTGTTCATGTAGTGTGGATTATAGCTCTAAGGGAATGAAAACATCCTGCAAAGATTTATATCTGAAAGTGCACCGTATATAAAGTTATTGTCTTTCAAAAGTTAGAGTCGACTCTGAGTCTATGAAATGAATTCTTTTTGAAACGAGTCATTAACTGTTACATCGTGACGTAGATATGAAACATTACCTCATTGGCCGCTCCCAACAACTGTGCGCGCAGACGGAAGTGTAAACTAGAACATATTCAAATACTTCAGCTGAATCACATCATGTCGAGAAGACGCTGTGTTCTACATTGCAAAGACAGTTCAGCCACTAGTTTTCATTGTCCAGGGACGAGCATGTGAAGAATCAGTGGTTAGAGTTCATATTTGCAACGATACCACAACAGTATAGCCCGAACCTTGTGTTCTCATCATTTTAATGACGAATCATTCAAAAACATAAATGAATTCAAATGTAGATTCGCAAGCCGGTTGTTCCTGAAGGAGGGCTCAGTATCAGAGACGCGAGTAAGGGACCGTGTGGAAAGTGCACTTTTTCTGACACGTTTGTTCAAACACTATATACAATTTTCAACACTTGACAAGCTATAATCCTGGTTATGGGCGTTCCATTGCCGACAGTCTCTGCCTACGGTTTACCAATGAGAACTGACTGGGTCATTTGACCAATCGCCGCAGATTCACGACACTCAAAGGAGGTGTTTGGGAAAATGAATCGTCGAAAGAATCATTTGGGAGTCGTTGAGCAAATCAGTTAAAAATAAATGCATATTATAAGACAAATAAAGTGTTTTTTTTATCATTGCATGCACGTTAAACTGTTTTTGGGAACACCCAAAACAAAAATAGGAACATTTCAAATGCTATGATAGGGGCTCTTTAAAATAAAACCTGCAAAGATGCTAAACTATGATAACCTTGCATCCAACACAGCACTTAATAAGATTCTTCTTGTGATCATAAAATGACCAAGGATTACAATATTTTCCTGACAGATGAAAATAAAGCATTACAGAACATTTAATGATGGAATGACAGTTAAAGTAAATCAGTGGCATTATTTGAAGCACAACCTCTGCCTTGCTTAGACAAATTTAGCTGCATTTACTCCTGTGATTTCAAAGCTGAATTTTAGCATCATTACTACAGTCTTCAGTGCCACATGATCCTTCAGAAATCAGTCTAATGATGCTCAATGAACATTTTAAATATAAGTCGTGCTAAAAATGATGGAAGCTTGTTTCTGTCATGCAATTAAAAAAATTCTAATTGCGACTATTTCACAAGTCTGATATAGTCAAACTCACAAAACTAATTAAAAAATATAAATGTTTATGCCATCTTTACTGTCACTTTACTGCTCTGTGTGAATAAATGTATCATTATTTTAAAAGAACCGCACTGACCCCAAACTTTTGCAAAGTAGTCTAACTTCTTAGGGGCTCTAGCTTAAGAACAATTGAAAACTAGAAACTACATACAAGATGAACAAGAATATCCATTTACATGTCATTACATGACAATCTAACTTATCTCGATCAAGATTAGCCAGGCATTATATTTAACTATAAAAAAACTCACATCAACTCCTCCAAACAGGTCAAACGTATATGTATTGGGTGAGACCGACTCCTGTGGTGTTTTACGCTCCTCTGTGACAAATGACATGGCCTCCATAGACAGCAATGACGACAGCTCCTGCACAATAACAAAACCACTCAATTAACATCTGATCACAAATTATGCGAAGGCGATGCATTCTGTATGAATGGACGACATTTTACTTACCATGACCATGCTGTCAATCTTGGAGAGATCACTGTTAGGATGGCTACTTTCATGAAGTCTCCTCAATAACACTGGTATCCCCTGCCATTGAGCTCTTTTATCTCTCTCCTCCAGCAAAACCGCAGGAATCTGTATTCGACAACACAAACACAACACTGCATTTAAAATATATTAATTATTGCTCCTATTGTTATAAGACAATTTTAAGACTAAACACCTTTAGCAAGCAATGCAAAATATCAGTACTTTTATATTTATAGCTAGGCTAGTTCATAAACGAATCATGTTTGCGAAGTTGAAAAGCAGGAAGAGAATCACTAAATCATTTTTTTTAAACTATACATTTTACACAATTTATTTGTCCGATTATGGCTCTCAATGAAATGCAATACATGACTAACTTATTTGATAGCTAACGTTATTTTAGATTGAGGGGTCTTCAGGCCCTCGAATGTAAACAGTGTCTACGACACGTTTTGAAGGCAGTTTGGACCTTTATATAACTTAAAATCTCACCTGAGACCCTCTAGTCAACCCAACACCTGTAGTTTGGGATTGTTGTATTTTATTAAAAATGTTTTTGCATGGATTTCCTCTGCTTGTTTGGGTCCGTGAAAACCCAGAGCGCCTTGTCGCCATTGCTGTTTCGCTGCCGTTGTGACGTTGAGAAGTTTCCACGAAACCACCAGAGATGATAGAGTTAATACTGCATCCTACTGGACTGGAGGGGGAACACACAACAATAACAACTGAACTGTAGTCTCCATAGATATGGTAGTAGTCTCTGACTGAAGTTACATTTTTATAGGATGGAACGGCCGAAACACATAAAACATTTATTTTATTTTATTAAAAAGGGTGTTGTGTGAACTGAGCAGTGAAAGACTGGTGAGATGTACTGTACGTAGCTAAACATTTAATATTTGACAAATGTTTTACGATAAATGTTCAGCAGCTAGCACTGGCAGTAAGATACAGTAACGCAAATTGCACAATATTTTTATGAAATTTCACCTTTTTGAATCGAGCATGATGTTATTTACATAATTCATAACTGAATGCGTCGAGACGTTTTAACATTGTGCGTTTTGACATTAGACACACGAATAAGAGTGAATGTGTGCATAACTTGAAAAAAATATATATTTGCAAATAGTTTAAATTTAATACTTAATAATAATAGACTGGAACTTTTACCATTCTTAATTCTTTTTTTTTATTTCTTCACCCCAAGGCCCTGCTTTTTAATAATAATAATAATAATAATAATGAATTAATTCATAATATTAGTTGGTTAACCTTTATGCATGTAGGCCTACTGGGGGAAAAACACAAAAAAATATAATAATATAACAAAATAAAAATAATATAATATAATAGAGGCATGTAACACATTTCTAAACTATAAAATACAACAACTTAACTTTACCACTTCAAACCACTCTGCTGTTAATATGAAATGATTTTAACAAGCCAATAATTTTGGACATGCTTGAACATCATCTTATATATAACTTTATATAAAGCATTTAGAATTATAATGTTATAACAGCAACTGTCAACCATGCTTTTTAAACCTAAATATGCTTATATTTTTAAACTATAAAACTACAGCAATTGTTATGAGCTTATAAAACAACACAATGATATATTTTTAAATAGATTAAGACATAGACCAAGTAAGAGCACCGAAATAACCGATAAAGAAATATTTAATGCATTGCATTCAATACAATTTGCAGATGTATTTTCAGTAATGGAAAGATTGTATTGTATTTATTGTGTCAATTCATTTGTAACACAAGAAATAATATATAGCCTAAGTAATAGGGTTTATGTTTTTCCTTGGTCAACCACCCACATTTACTGTTGACAGCAGGACAAATAAACACTAGGGTTCCTGTAGTTTTCTCCATTTAGGTGGCTTTCCCATAACTCTCCATCACATGGGCGATGATGAATGAAACCCACTCACATAATCAACATCATCAAAGGAGATTAAAGTTACGATAGACGCCCATAGGAACTCAGCGCACACCCTCTGAGATGATAAACGAGTGTAAGGAAAGAGAGACGTGTGCCCATGCTCATGCATTTCCTGAACACACAAGGAGGATCAAATGGGACCGTGTGCAGGACAACAGAACTAACCCAACAGCAAGGAAATGGGCGTTTCTGAAGTTGACTCCAGAAAATCTTCCAATTTACTGGAGCTGAAAAGGGATGAGAGTAGTAGCAGACCTGAAAGAGTAGCAAACACTGAAAGAGTCATCGGATATTTGCCTCTGCTGGATTTGGATCACATTTGGTGAGTTTACTTCTTGATCTGCTTTTATTGTTGTTTATAGTGTGAAATAATAAATAAATAAATAAATAAAAACTATAAAAACACAACTTGAACTATAAAATATAACAATAATTAACCACTTTGCTTTGCTGTGAATATGAAAGGATATTAACAAGGGAATGAACATCATCATTTTATTATAGTCAGAAGTCTACATAACAGTTTTAGTTTTTAATTATGTTAAAATTCTCTAGAATAATTGAAGACTGGTTATGAGAACATAACTTTTCCCAAGGCTGTTCTTCTTTAGCTTTGACCAGAAGAAAAGCACCACACTCTTTCATACTTAGAAAAGTCTGAAAGAGTGCCTTCATTTCTCCGCTTTGGGCTTCAGCCATAGTCCGTTTTTTCCTTGTCTAGGTTTTGGCAAAAGCAGAAAACCTGAGGCTAAACGCACAATTATGCAGTTGTGTCTTAAACCATTTACTTAATGTCAAATATCAAACAATAGTATTTTATTTATTATATAATGTTTTTATTGCATCATTTATTTAATTATAAATAATATAAAAGAACACTAACTATATAATAAATACATAGTTTTGAAAAAAAATATTTTAAAACACTTTAAAAGTGAAATGTATTTATAAACAATATATTAATAATAAATAAACGATAAAATATTTTAAATCATTTCAAATAATATTGAATATTTATAAAGTATTGGCCATCATTTGAGTTAAATGTTTATAAAGAAATTATTAATATATATATATTTCCATTTATTTATTATTATATTGTTTTTAAACGTATTTCACTTTTAAAATGTTTTAAAAAAAAATTCAGGACACATATTTTGCTTTTAACACCTTTAAAATATTATATTATATTATATATATATATATATATATATATACATATATATATAAAATTATTTTTATTATTTAGTTATACGTTTGCCAATATTTTATCAATATTCTCTCTCTCTCTCTCTCTCTATATATATATATATATATATATATATATATATATATATATATATATATATATATACAAATATTTTAAATGTGTTAAAAGCAAAATGTGTCCTGATTCACAACACAGAATGTTTACATGTTGACAGGTTCTGTTTATCACCATGGCGTCTCTTCTGATTTTTGTCACGCTGCTTCATCTCATCACACTGGCCGTTCTCTTTATCGCCACCATGGAGAAGGCAAGTATATGAAGCACTTTATCCCCAGAAATCTGAATAATCTGCACACACATCTAAAAACATTAATCCGTATTTATGATTCAGTCCTGGTGGGTTTGGCAAGGCACAGAAAACTCAGACCTGTGGTACAACTGCCGATTTGACAATGAAACCGAGGCGTGGTTTTGTGCAACATCACAAGAGACAGGTAACATAACACATTTGAGCACTTAAATGATTTTGAAATATGGGAATTTATTGAAATAACCGTCACCAAACAGATGTTCAAAGGTGCCTAGAATGGTCTCTATGTTTTGTTTCCACCAGAGTGGCTTCAAGCTGTGCAGGTTCTGATGGTGCTGTCCGTGGTTTTCTCCTCCATTTCATTCCTGATATTCCTGGGACAACTCTTCACCATGTCTAAAGGAGGGCTCTTTTACCTCACAGGGATTTGCCAGGCATTTGCCGGTATGTGCTTTGAATCAATTAGCATTATTACCCAAGGTTTACATCTTTAACCCAAGCCAAAATAAATAAACACTGGTTTCAGTTGCTCTAAAGTCAAGAAAAAACATTTGGAATTTTTTTCCTGACCTTTTCTGTCTGTTTTCAGGCCTCAGCACCTTCACTGCAGTGCTCATTTACACCCTGCACAATAAAGAAATCCTTCAGGACTCTCGGGAGTTGAGCTTGGGACACTTCGGCTACTGCTTTTTCTTGGCGTGGGTTTGTGTACCTTTGCTCCTGTGCAGTGGAATCATGTACATCCATCTGCGCAAAAGGGAATAGCAATGGAAAAAAAAAGACAAGCCATGCGAAGAATGTTTGCTGTTGACGTACTCCGCTGAGTGATTATATACTTCATGATATCTCTATGACACAAACAAGACATTTATTTTTCGCTTATTTAGACCGTATTTAATCACACATAAATATACACAACTGAAATGTAGCCCCACGGCCCATGCCAAAAATCAGCTCAACTTGCTTAACTCTTAAAAGGCAACCATGACTAATACATCTAATTAGCTGAATTATATCTAATTTAATTATAAAACGGGCCATATAACGTAATCTCATTTAATACTGGAGGAATACTTGTATATATTATAGTGGAATCCGTTTGCTAAAATGTTAAGATGTATTTTTATAAATAAATTCAACTAAGTCAATAATGTATGATTTCAATTTCATTACTGTGCTAACCAAGAAAATATTCTTCACAAATACACTGCAAGATAGTGGACTCCGCAGACCTTGGGAGTGCATGACAAACTCATGACTCCAGTTTCTGAACTAACAGCTTCCATCACGCCATCTAGCATGATCTTACGTCAGACTAAGCTTTCAACAACAAACTTCCTGACATTCAAAGGTCCCTTCTTTTTTTTTTTGGGTCCTAGGGTATCAGCATCTGGTGGTCCCATACTCTGAAACACTCCAAAAAAAAAAGAAAAGAAAGCGCTCTCCAATGCCAGACAAAGGGGTTTAATATCAGGTTCACCACAGCTCACAATACGTCCAGATTTATAGTCAGTTTCTGCATAGAATACAAGAAGGCCGCTAATTTGATCACCAGCAGCAGTGTCCGAAACCGAAGTTGGCTCTTAACCCACTCTTCATTTTATTATTTTATCAGGCAAAATTAATATAATAAAAAAAACTCAATAATATAGCATGACAACCTAAATAACAAAAAAAAAAAATCCTCAAATCTGAATCAAAAAGATTGTTTTGTAAAAATAAACATTTTGATCATTGACAGTTGAGGTTGATTCTGGAGGTCAGTGTCACTGTATGGGGTTGTAAGGCTACTTTATTTTTAAAGACAGTTCTGAGAAATGCTAAGAGAAGAATCATAGAACGAGGAATAAAACTGAGGAGGTGGTAAAGCAGAAGCAGCATATAGCTGCGAGATAGACATCGAGGTAAAAGAACGTCAAAACTCTTCACTCTTCAGCTCTTTTTAATCAATCTGAGATGTTCAGCAGTTACTCTAAAATCATACAACTTGTTAGATCTTCGCTTCGGTTGCTCTCTCTTTTAACTATATCACAGTGTGATTGCTTCCCCGTTCATCTCCATTTTGCTCAACCAGAAACACCCACCACCCTCAAAACTGTCACAGGGGAATAACATATCACTAAAGAAAAAAATTAAGTAATTAGAAGTCCTTTCAGTCCAGATATTTCCACCTCAAGAGTGCTTTTATAAAGCCAGGTCAGCAGATGGCGCTGTCACTTTATCCGCTGCACAATGACGGCATTCAGCAGGTTGGCTTCCTTCAGCGTCTGGTTCTCGTCCGTCAGCTCCTTGTTGGGGAAGGTCGTCATGAGGACAAACTCGGTGGCGGCTAAAGCTGGACGAGCGCTCGCCACAAACTGACGCACATCAGACACCCTGAGATAGAGATGGAACAGTCAGTCAGTCAGTCAGTCGTGAGGAAGAGTTTCCACTATATTCAAAGCATTTTTATAATGCTTTTACCTATGGGTGTGGTTGAATTTCTGCACCAGCCGGCCTCCATCGGCCAGTCTGATCTGGATGCTAGTGACAGGTTGAGAGCTGTCCACACTTATGGAAGCACTAGCCTCAGCTTCACTGCTAGACTGGTCCAGCGGGTTGCTCTGGAGCGACACCAACTCTGGAGTGGCGCTGAGGGACGATAGTGTAGAATGATGACAGTTCAGCCACATTCAATTATATAACAGTGTTATCAAGTAGACCACAATGTACAATGAATTGAAAGAGCTCCAAAGTGCCCATCAAACTAAATTAATGATTTACTAGGGCTGCGCGATTAATCGAAGCAAAACCAAAATTGCAATATGGCTTAGTGTGATTATCAAATCATAAAGACTGCGATTAAAATAAAATATATGCATCCATCTCCCCAAAACTTGTGCTGATTTTGGCTGTTGTCTTTTATTGTTTTGTTTTTATTTTACAATAATAAAAGGGTTAGTTAACCCAAAAACAAAAATTTACGAAAAAACGTTTTTTTTTTAAGATTTATTTTTATATATATACACAATAGACTGATTAACATTTTCTTCAGAACCTTACATGTTGTTTAGTTTAGTTGTCCATTTAGAATTGTGAATCTCATATTTAAAATCTTGATTCTCAATATCTCTAGAACCGAGCAGCTCTATTAGCCATTCATGTGTTTCAGCATGGGAAACAGTGTAATCAAGCCACCTTCAGCTCAGTGAAAGGAAATCAGAAGAGAAGAAAGAGTTTTCCAACCTGCCGAGTTTCTGTCCTTCTCCAGTAAAGGCCCTGAAAGCATGCTTGGGTTTGGAAAAGTCTTCATCCCGATGGTCCTCCATGTCTAGGTTTACCTGACCACCTCGGAAACGCTGTCTCAATTCCAGAGGAATCTCCCTGAGTGAGTCAGCAAGTGACAAAGAGATTCAGTAGATAATGTAGTCTAATTTCACAACCAGTTAATCTAATAGTGTTCAACAAATGAGGATTTTCAATGCTAAATGTCAAGAGGGTCCAAACATGAAACTAAATACCTTTAATGGAAAATGTTGGATGCTATATAACCCCTGCTATTCAGCTAAACTTCTGCCAAACATCCCTGAATGAATTCAGAGCTCACCCTCTGCGGATAGACTCCAAGAAGAGAGCGTTCCCGGGATCACTGTAGTTCCTAAGCTCTCCATCATCAAGACTAAAGCCAGACTTCCAGAGCTTCAGCACCACATGCACCTGTTGGTACAGCACAAATCACTGTAGCAGATCTCCCTCTACATCTGAATGACTTCATATCAGCAGGCACAGGCAAGGTGACTCACATCTTGTGAACTGCCGGGCTGTCTCCGAGCTCCTGCAACATAAGTTGACTCCTCCTCTGGTGCTGCACCCAATCGATAACCACCACCTATAAACGGCTGTAGAATGAGTGGACAGAAGGGAAACATGAGCACTTCAAAATCACATGAGATAGAAGTACAAATATGCAACAAGCAAATTATCTTTAATATACAGTAAAGTTTACTCTGTGGAAGAACTACCTTGGACTTGCTGGATTCTCCAAGTCCTTTGCCTGCTTTGTCAACAGGAACCGCCCCATGCTCCTTAGCTCCTTTAAACAAATCCTCAACCACCTCATTTGGGCTTTTCTTTTTGGGAGGGCCAACTATCTGCTGCCCACTGCGTTCTGAGCCCCCGGCAAAGAACCTGCAGGACGAGAAGCGTGATGTTACTCAAAAAAGTAGCATTAAATGTGTAAACATGACATTATAAAAGCATGTAAAGGCAGAAGTGAACGTATTTATGTCTTTATTTGGCTATTAGAGATGGGTAAAAGTGTGACTGAGAACACATCCTCTTACAGAGTATATGGGTAGTTGACATGCAGCGTCTTGGAGGTTGATATATTTTATTTAATCGCCCACTGCACTGAAGTGCCTTGAAAAGCGTAGCACTTTTTCACTGTTAACATCATTTCCACTGAAACAGGAAGACGGAAGGACATTTGATTCTGCACGCTTTAGATTCTAGAGAGCATTTGATTGGACAAAAAATCTGAGAAGCTGAGTGATGCCATCAAAATCATTGATCCATATAGGTGGAAGACTGTACGTTTTCCATGCTAATATCTTCTAAATTCAAATTTTATCATTGTTTTGGAGCACATAGATAACAGTAAGGCTAATATAGTCATACTAAAAGCCCAAAAACTTTAACACATGTGTAATATGTCTAATTGTGGTATAATTATCAAATATACATTTTTTTTTCTCACTTTTAACATATATAGTGTCACCAAAGGACCATTTAAACGAACAGCAAAAAGGAAGATAGACCTAAAAGACAGTGTTTCCTTTATACAATCATTTCACTTTATGCAACTTATCTTAGTTAAGACTACAAAAAGTGTTAATGTTTGTGTTAAAGTCACGGACTGCAGTCGTCTTTTCTTCCCTATTGTGACGCATTTCCGAGTGAAACAGCTTTTAGAATGAGAATGAAAAATGTAGGGGTGAAATTTCAAATTTGATTTTGTCCACTGGAAATTGATTGGATCGTTGTCATTTGCTAATTGCTGGGATATCATGTGTGACAGGGTTTATTGTCTAGCCCTCACTCCTGTTCACATGTCATCAGAGAAGGGAAGTTAATGTTTTTAAAGGATTACGAGGGCATAGGATTTAAAAATAAATGTTCCATAAAAAATAATGACATTATTCCACAATAATTTAAATCCTAATATTAAGAAATGTCCATTTTATTAACTGAACAATTGAATACCTCTGGCCTTCTTCTTCACCACTCTCATCTTCATCCTCATGCATCAGATCTCTAAAGGATGTCACTCTGTGTTCACTAAAATCAGAAGAGATTACATTTAACACAGCACAATGTTATTATGACTTTAACCATATAGATCATACTGTAAGATAGAGAAGCCCAAACAGTTTGTAGGTTGACCTGTGTTACCTTGGCCCTGTGGATCGAGTGACAGGGCCAGTTTCTGGCTGAGGGAGGGTGGCAATATCATCATCTCCTCCATCTTCAAAGAAATTAGCTAGAGCAAGCTGAGGGGACAGAGGAGAGAGAGCTGTCACCTCATTTCACAGACAGTTGGTCAATTACAGAAACAAAACACAATTTTTCGCTTACAATAATTAGATACATCGAATTCATTATATTAAAGACTCCAAAAACACACAGTATATTTCAGGACGAATAATAACAACAAGCCACTAATGTAAACATGAGTATCAACTGAGCAAGCTAAAGCTGCTAGCTTATGGATTGATTTCTATGTAAAATAGACCGACACGGTTTAAAAACATTATCCACTTCAAGGCAATACTGACTACCAAATTCTGAGGTGTGAATCACATCATGTGTGATTAACGACTTATATCAGTGTAAGATACTCCTGGTGATTTTAATGAAGAGTGACTTGCACATTTCGTTAGCCGGTTATAGATTTCACTGGCTTCCAGTGAGCTGAGGTATAAGTCTGTTGAATTCTCCTCTACGGAGCTTGTGCTTTACAGCACAATATTTCAGTAAAAAGGTGATGAATGTGACCCTGACCTGTAGGTCCCAGCCGGCTGACTCGAGGAAGAAACGGGCCCTCTCTTCATCAACATCAGTAACAGCGATGAACCCTCTCACTGCTTCTTCCCGCTCCGCCATTTTGATGTGTCACGCTATGGAAGGATCCGACAGGAAACAGGGGAAATTAGTTCCGCTGTTTGGGAGTAAAGTTTTAGAGTGGATTTTTCTGTTTTCAACTCCCTTTCTTTTCATTACATCGATATTAATGTTGCCATTCTTTATTTATTTTTTTTATTTAAAGTTTTACCCACAAAAAAAACAAAAAAAAAACTAATATTGATTTGCACATTTTTTTGAAGGCGATTATGGTCTATAAGTTGGCATACGTTTTAATATATATATATATATATATATATATATATATATATATATATATATATATATATATATATATATATAT